TCTCTCTCCATCAGCCACAGGAGCCTTTCATGTTCCTTGGAGTCCATGCTCTGTGCTGGTCCATACAGGCAGTTTCCTTTGCATGGAACAGTTTTCCCCATCCCCCTCTTTGCCTTCCCTACTTTTTCTTTAGAGAAGCCTTCCTGACTTTTCAGCCTAGAACTGAGCCCTTTTTACGTGGCTTGTGCTGCCTGTACGTCTCCTATGCAGCATTTACCAGGATTTCCAACAGGAAGTAATTGCTCTTAGTGCCAAAGCTGCTGCCTCACAAGACTGCAAGCTCCAGCCGAGCAGGGGCTGGGTGTGCCTTGCTCTCCATGGGACCCCGAGCACCCCCACACAGCTGGTGGATGTGCTGTAATTATTTGGGGGCAGCAATGAGCAGATGACTGGGGGAGGATCCAGCTGTTGCTCTCAGGGGCCCTGGGACCCACAGGATACACCAGCTCCCTCCCTTCCACCCCTTTCTTGTGAGTCTTGTCCTTTGATTCTAATTTTCTGCAATCTGTCCCTCTGAAGTTGATCCATCTCAGTGGCAGGAGAATTGAGCACAAACATCTTTCAGTTCCTGGTGTTGAAAACAAACCATCCTGCGTTGAATTGATCCTGGAGAGATTTCTCCAGGGTCCTTTCAGAAACCAGACACTCATTAGGACCCAGGAGATGCCAAAAATACCTTCCAATGGGCTCAGAAAGCAGATTTTTCTTTTTGAGGGTTTAGGTGTTTGGGGAATTTCAAATACTAATCTGCTTTAACAAATGGCAGTGTATTTAAAAATAAACCCTTCCATCTGTTTTAGTCATTTGGAAGCAGCTTTTACAACTGCTTCCAGCAGTCCTTGGGATGCATGTGAAATTATTTGGAATTGAGAGAACTAAAATACTTCAATATATTAGCAGTTCTTAAATGCGTTCTTTATCAACAGATGTTTGGGGAAATGAATATGAGTTGGCAGTTTATTCTAGGATAAAATCTTAAGTCTCTCTGCAAATCTTGGGGCCAGAACTGTTGAAATATTGGTCAAGGGAAAGCCTGTGATGACAATGAATAACCTGTGGTGTTCAGCACATCTGAGACCGCAGCCCTTTCGGTGTCTTATCTCACCAACTCCTTGACTGATTGGCATGGGGATTTTATTTTATTTTTCAATCTAGAGATAAGAAATGTGAGGTTCAGAGAGATTTAATGACCTACCAAAGAACACACAGCAAGGAAGAAGCTGTGTGAAGGACTAGAACCTAAAGCCAAGTCCTGTGTTTCCCCACTCTATGATGCTGCCTCTCCAGGAATTTGGGACTCTCCTGGGGTCTCAAGGTGTAAGATAAAGAGCCGAAGCCTAAGATCAGATAGGCCTGCATGAAGATCCTAGTCTTGGAGAAAACACTTCACCTTGTATTCTTCACCTGTCAAATTAAATCAGTGTGATGAATTCTGTTTCCCAAGGTCTCGAGATATTGTCAGGACTGATGGTTTGCAAAGTGTCCTGCACAACATAGGAACTCAAGAAATCAAGCTCCTTCTTCCCTCTTCCCTTGCCAAGGGAAGGCAACTCCAGACAGAAGTATGTCCTAGGGTATTTCACCCGTTCTGGGGCTGGGTTGGAGGATGAAGGATGACTTGTTGCAAACATGCATCCTGTGGCTCTGTCCCTGCACAGTCTTAAGACAGGGAAGTCATGTCCTCTGTGGTATGAGTCACGAACCCAGAAAACATTTCCCTTGCTGTTCTATGACAGCGCCCCAAGTGTGCATTCCTCAGGGTGAACTCCTGGCCTCAGGAATCAGCCTCGAGCTAAATTTTCTGGTCTTGTTTTTTACTCCACTCCTGCATGAATCCTGCATGAATCCTACACTCCAGGCTCACTAACTATCACCCCTTTGAGGAAATGTCATGCCTTCCTCCAGGCCTTTTTGTCTCTGTTCTGTGTTCAGCATATCCAGTATCCACCTGGAAAGTTCCTGCTGTCCTTCAGGACTCAGCTGAAGTGAAGCCTCCAAGCCTTTCCTCATCTCTTGAAATAGAAGGAAAGAATCTCACCTTAGTGAAAACACTTATATGTAGCAATTCTTAGGAACTGTGCCTTATTTTACATGCTTGTTATTTTTCTAACATCTCTCATCCCAATTCTACTATGACTAGGTGCTTGAAAACTTATATGAGTTTCATGCTTTTGGTGTTTCCTTAACACTTAGCACAGCACTTGGTTCAGAGACAGTGCTGAGTTCCACTAAAGTGATGAGAGAGATGGTGGTTTGGGCTCAGAACACTGTTCTCTATTGTTTTTGCAGTATATCTCATAGTATGAGCATGCTATGCTTGTCTATTCAGAATTCACCAAGATATTCATGAGTTTTGATGCTTCTGTATATATTTTAGAATAAGTTTATTGAGGTTTTATTCTAATATTTTTGCTGGGAGTTTGAGTGACATAGACTTGGTCATTAATTTCAGAAAAAAAAAAAAAATCTACATTGTAATGATGTTAAGCCTTGCATTCACGAATCAGGTAAACACTGTAACCGTGAACATAGTATTTTTGCCTTGTTAGGTCTTTCATGCAGTTTTGAACATTTTTTAATAAAAGTTTTGTGAAATCATTGTGAGGTAAGTTCCCACACATACCGTCATCTGGTTGGTATTATTGATGCTGTCTTCTTTTCTATTGTATTTTCCAGGTTGAAAATACTAGTGTTAGGAAATAGGTGGATTCAGCAATTTGCTGAGCTGTTTTGTCATATCTAATGCTTTGTCAGTTTCTTTGGGTTTTCTATGAAGTTTCCTCATTATTCTGCAAATAATGGCAGGTTTATTTCTATACCTATTGAAGCAAAATGCTCAGTTGATATAAGAAGGAGACCCAGTACTAAAGCAGTTTAGTGGATAAATAAGTTCCTTTTTTTTTTTTTTTTTTCCTTTCTCTCTCTCTCATAACATTTGCCAAGGTGGGCAGTCCAGGTGTCTCTGGATCACTCAGGGCTCTGGTTTCTTCTGGATATTTCTCTGCTATTTCTTAAGGCCTTCCTCATCTGCATGGTTGAGTTTAGGCTGCCCGGGGTTCCAATAGTAGGGAAGGGATGGAGAGGAAGGAGGACCACACCTGCCATCTTAGGGCTTTGCTGGCAAGGGGCACAATCCCTCTTCAGGTATAGTTACAAGCAGAACTGCATTTGATTTGCTTTTGTTCTTCATCACCTTTCTTGATCATGCTTGTTCATTTTTTATCACATTAGTCTACTTAAACAATGTTTTGCTTTTTAAAATCTCTATGACTGTTTTCAGAAGTCTATTTCACTGATGTCTTATATCATCTTCTACCTTCTTCTTATTTCTTTGGCTATCTATTGTTCCTTTAGCTTCTTAAGTTGAAAGTTAAACTCATTACTTTCATTCTTTGTTTCCTGATAAATTTATTTCAAGCAATAATTTACCTTCTGACTATTTTATCAGCTACAGCCATGAAATTTTGAAAAGTAGCAATCTGTCATTTATTTATAATATTTTATTTGTTGCATTATTTTCTTCTTAACCTAAGGAATTTTTTTAGACTTTAGATCCCTAGAATTTTTAAATTTTTATTCATAATTTTCGAATTTGATTTCCAATTTTATTACTATATTATCGTAGAGCATGAGTTGGAAGATGCTGACTCTGAAATTTATTAGTACTTTCTCTGTGACCTAATACATTATCCATTTGTTGGCAGAAAAATTATATAGTGTTATCAAAATCTATCTGCATATTTATGTATTTACTTATCTTTGCTTACTGAATTAGTTTCTGAGATTTGTATGTTAAAATCTCCAAGTAAAATTATGGATTTATCTATCTGTCCCTGTTGCAGTTGCCTAATATATTCTGAAACTATATCATCCCATCAACATAGGTTGCAATAATTTTTTCTTCTTAATATATTGTTCCTTTTGCACATCTCTATTTGCCATTTTGTAATTTATTTTCACCTTAAGTCCCATTTTGTCTCAAAAATGGGACCACAGGTTTTCCTTTCATTCATTTTTGCATTAAAAATTTTTGCATCAAAATTTTAATTTTGCATTAAAATTTTTTGCCCATTTATTTTCAAACTTTGTGTGTCAATAGACAATGCTGGAATTTTAAAAATGTGTCCTCCACACAGCATGATCTTTCAAACATATCAGTGAAATGATCTTATCCCAACTTGGATCCTTTCAGTGGCTCCTCATGTCTCCTAGAACTGACCCTATGCCACCCCCTACCCTCTAGGGCCCTGCAGGACCTTCCTGATACCTCCTACTCACATTCCGTGCTTCCCTAGCTCCCTCAGTCTGGCCACCCTGCCTTCTTTTAGCTCCTTCAGCATGCAGTCTTGCTCCTCCTGCCTGCAGGAATTGCCCCATTATTCCTGCGGACTCCATACACTTCCTAGATCTTTACATGGCTGTTTGCTGCTCACCTTTCAGGCCTCAGCCCAAACATTGCCTCTGCTTGGAGGCCTTTCCTAACCCTGGACCTGAAGGATGCCCTGCCTGCCAGGTGACTGCTTGGAGCCTGCCCTCACCATCATTACCAAGCACCTTGTTTATTTATGATGTCAGACTCCATGATATCAGAGACCTCATCTGGTTTTCACTGCTACAGCCCCAGTCCCTGAGCAGTGTCTATTTAGTAGGTGTCCAGAAATATCTGCAGAAAGAAATTCTTGGAAGAATGAATAGCGCAGCTATCACAAGTAATGTGCAGAAAATCTAGTGAGATGTTTTTATAACAATCGTTCAGAATTTGGTCTTTCCTTCAACCCTTAGACCCATCTTCAAGTTTCATGAGACACCCCCCAGAGTCATACACTCTGGTTTTTCTTAAGGCCACACCTAAAGAAGATGCTGAGCTGCTAACTGGCACCAGGTTTCTCTGGGTGATCTTTGCTCCTCTCTCTCTAGTTGTACATTTATTTGAGAATTTGAAACCCTCAGAGCTTCTGAACAAAGCACCCATCCCCCTCAACCCAGAAACTCTCCCTATGTGCTAAAGGTTAAATATTTATTAGGTTTATTTTAATCAGGAATAAATACATGATTTAGCAAAATGTAATGCTTCCCATTTAGAAATCCCTCTGGGTGCTCCCCAAACTTTCCAATCACATTCTTCACAACAGAAAACAATACATAAGAACATAAGATGCTGTGCAGACATCTGGAGTTCAGGGGGTCACCTGCGTTATGCGGGAAGTCAATATCCACAGTGTTACATTCATTTCTCATACCTTGGCTGGTTCCTTTGAAATAGCCTTTTGGAATTGTTGGGGAAACCACAGATGTCTCCTTGTATAAACACACTGGAATCTATGATACAGAAAATCGTGTAACTGCACATACACATACCACTAGCACGATGAGCTCAGAGGGACGGAATGCTTATGTGAGCAGACAGACAGGGAGAGATACGGCGAGCATGTTCCCCTCCTTCCCCAGGATCCCTTTGAAACCGGGAAACATGAGTCATAGATTCATCTGCAGCCCACTCTTTTCCTAGCAGGATTTGGATGGCAGCTTCTCCTTCTCTGGCTCTACATTGTGTTTTCTCCCTTGTCTCTTAAAATTATGCGTGACATCATTAATCCACTTGAACTCCCCATCTTTCCTGGAGTTCAGCATTTTTCCTCATATGGATGCCAGACCCTTCTTAGAATAAAGTACTGGGTGAGTTAATTCTTTAGACTGCGTCCATTTCTTTAAAAAAAAAAAAATCCAACTATTCTTACCTACCCGATCCAGCCAGCCCTTCCACTCTGAAGAGCAGCTGGAAAATGAGCTCCTGAGTGTCTCTCACCTGTCTCTCCAATTCCATCCTAAGCCATGAGCTGATTTCTCTTTTTACACATTTGTTTATACATTTTTTTTCCCTGTCTACACCGTGAACACCTCTGTTGGGGGTTGGGACTTATGCACCCTTTTCTTTTTTTTTTTTTTTTTTTGTTTTTGGCTTGCCTGACACCTTACACAGGACTTAATGCAATGCCTATTCAGGTAATAAATGAATAGTTGATGCATTCATACAGACAAGAATCCCAGCATCTCAGAGAAGCTCTGTCTACGCTGCAAAGCCATGACTGCAGACATCAGGGAAGCTGGTGCAGTTCTAGGCTCATCCCCTTGATTTCCCTGCCAGCAGCCTTCCTCTCATTCTCCTGGCCCTCTGCAGAATCAGGGGGGACCATCTGACTTCCACCCACATGGCTTTGGTGCGGGAGCAGGCCAAAGGTATCTCCCATTTGAAGGCTAGGAAGTCCTTTGGGCTAACGTTTAGTGTCACGAAGTTCCTTTAAAAAGAGAGGAAATCATACCAGAGGTCCCTACGGATTGGTTAAAGTAGTTCCATTCAGGGCACCCATCTGCAAACCCAGACCTTCTGCCAGGCCACAGCTTTTGTTTCCTCTCCCTCTCAGGCTTGCCCATACAGAAGTTCTCTCCAATGACCTCAGAGTACTATCTGGACAGGTGCAGTTCCTTGGAGAACAGTCCTGGTGCACTTCCTTGTGCGAGTGGCTTTGTCCTTCCCACACATGCAATGTGTGCACACAGACATGCTGGGCTCTTCCAAGCATCACCTGACATGTCATGATCCAATGTTTCGTGATGCCACAGCCCTGGTCAGACACCAGGGAGGGGTTCCTTTGGTCACGATGTGGATAGACAAGATGTGAATTTGAGTCTCCATGTGGCTTCTCTTGGCTTTTAAAATATGTGAGATTCCCAGGGATCAGGGAACCTTGCTTTTTGCAAGATCCCAGGCAATAGTTGGAACTTCTATTCCTTTTGGGCATGAACCATTGTGTCTGTTCTTGGCTAGTCCTCAAAGTAAGGTGGTGATGAGAAGAATGAGCTCTTTCTCTTGCTGCCACCGTACATCAGGGAGACGCTTTTCTTCTTTCGATCAAAGGAAGTATTGTCCTCACTGGTCAGGGACAGGTAAGAGGCTATGCTCTCTCGAAGGCCATAGCTGAAAAGGGATTCGTCTACCCCAAGTGGGTTCTCTGTTCCCTCAGGGTTCTCATGCAGTCTGTTGGTCAGAAGAAAAGGGGACAGAGAAAGGGAAAAAAAGAGAGTTATAGAGAGAGGAGGGGATAAAGGGCAAGAAAATGAGAACAGCAGGAAAAGAAAAACAAAAATCCTGGTGACTATTTCTCTAACTTATTATAATTTTTATTTATTTATTTTAAGATGGAGTCTCGCTCTGTTGCCCAGGCTGGAATGCAGTGGTGCAATCTCTGCTCACTGCAACCTCCGCCTCCCTGTCTCAAGTGATTATCCCGCCTCAGCCTCCTGAGTAGCTGGGATTACAGGCATCCACCACCACACCCAGCTACTTTTTTGTATTTTGAGTAGAGACAGGGTTTCACCATGTTGGCCAGGCTGGTCTCAAACTCCTGACTTCAGGTGATCTGCCCACTTTGGCTTCCCAAAGTGCTGGGGTTACAGGCATGAGCCACCGTGCCTGGCCCTAACTTATTCTAATTATTACCCTTACCTATTATTCTAACTACTCTAACTGCAATCATTCTAACTCATTATTTTAATTCTGGTTCTAACATTTGTGGGCCATGTGATCTTGTACAAATCACTTAACCCATCTGAACTGCTCTTTTCTTGGATGGCTGACACTTCCAACTGTAAATTTTAGTAAAAATTAACTTTTGTTATTTACAAGAAAGAGTAGTTTTCTTCCTGTCTTGCATACTTTTGATCTCTGATTTTCTTTGATTTGCCAGTGGGATGTCTGGATTGATACTGAATTATTAAGATAACCCACAAATCCCAAACTGCAGATATCCTTTAAAATTCACGGGCTGACAATGGAATAAACAGAACAAATCCATGAAATTTTTTTTTCTCTTAGAAAAAACAAAGAAGTCACTATAGGATTCTGCTGATGTGTTTAAGCTTTGTGAGTGGATTTTAAATAATATTAAATTTACACAGGGTGTGTTAGTTTCTAGTATCCTAACAATTAGAAAAAGAAAAGTGGTATATTTCAGCTAGAATGTATACTGCTGGCATAGAATAAGGACTCAGTAAATGTTTGCAGAAACACAGGGAGCTGCCACACACATCGTGAGGCCTGAGGCTGCCCCTGCACCCAGGGATTCCCTTGGTTTACACTTGTGTGGGGTGCTCACCCCCTAGTTTCAGCAGGACTGGCTGACCCTGGCCATGGTTTTCAGGTACTAGGCACACATACTGTTTTGTGCTCACATGTTCATGGAGCACTTGCATGCACACACACACACACACACCATACTCACCTGGACATTCTCCTCCAGTCCACGGTCTTCTGACGCAAGGTGACAGGTGAGTTGGAGGCCCTCACTGCTGGGGCAGCGGTGCTTTGTGTCAGGCAGGGTGTGGTGAGCACACAGCACAGGCCATCAGCCACCTCTGAGGAGGAAGCAGACAGCCGGTCAGGGACCCTGGATATGCCTCAGCCAGTGTAGGGTTTGGGCCTGAGACACCCACCAGTGCAGCTCCCTGGCTGTTGCCATGGGGAACTGGACCTGAGATTTCAAAGGGGCATGGTAGGTAGTGGCAGTGCTGAAAGCCGTGTGCCCAACTGTTTGAGAAATGTAAGCATGCCCTGGTATCCTCTGCACTTAGCCGGGCGCGGGCAGAGAGAGAGGTTTAAGATCCAGTATCAACCAAGCTTGAGTTTGAATTTTTTTTGAATTTTACCCCGATCGTAAATTACCAGGAACTTCTCTGAGCTTTCCTTTCCTCAACTGCAGAATGAAAGAAATGAGGGAACAAGTGAGTGCCTGCAGAGGCCGCGGCCTTCAAGGGTTTCCCATGAAGGCCCAATCCATTGACCTCACAGGGTGTGAGAATGGGGCTGTGTACAACACTGATCCCCACAATTGTGCATTTAGAATGGCACAGGTGGACTAAATACACCTCTAGAGGAAAGATAAAAGAAACGATGAAAGAAGGAAGGAAAGGAGGGAGGGAGCAGAGGAGGAATGAAAGAGGGCGAGGAGGAAAAGCGAAGGTGAGAGGGAGAAGGAGGAAGAGGAGGAGGTGAAAATAGCACAAAAAGTAGAAGATACAGGAAGGGAGGGAAGAGAAAACAAAGATAAAGAGGGCAAAGAGAGAATGCAGACAAAGAAAGAATGAAAATAATCTCCCTTTCACTCTAGAGGCTCATGCACAAAAAGAATAAAAATTAAATAAACCTGTTTCTTTTTTCCCTTGTATGAAAATCTCTGTGTAAAAAGTCTGACTCTCAGGGTCCCCTGTCTTTCCAGGTACATTACAGTGTAGCTTCTTTCTCTTGGAAGGCTTCTCCCTAGCCCATGTTATCATGAGAAAGACTTGATTCTGCTGTACTCAGCCATCTTAGAGATTGAGGAAATTCTGTGTAGTCTTGTTCAGGCTGAAAACCCCAGTGCTTCTGTGCCCCGGGGGGAGATGATGTGGCCAAGGGGGTGAGGTGCCACTGGCCTCCAGCAGGACTAAGCCACCCCTGGCCTCAGAGCCAATCCACCACCAGGTTTTAGAAAGCACATCACCCCTCTGACAGGCCCCACTTCCCATCTGATTTATGGAGTGCTCTCTGGGGCATCCTTGCCAAAGAACAAAAGGAATTTGTAGCGGAAGGAGCACACTCAGCCTGTCACAGGGCGGGCAAGCCAGGAAGACCCTGTTACATGGTTTCAGTCTGACTTCAACTGTGAACTCCAATGTCCACCCACACAGGTGCCCTTGGAGAAATGGGAGGTGAGACCATGAATTTAGAGGGAGATTTAATTGGATGGGAATCTAAAATAATGACCTGTCATGGGTTGGAAATGGAAACGACCTCCCAGGTTATGAGGCGAGGAAGATGAAGTCAGATGCAGAGGCTGGAGAGATCAGCTGCAGTGTGCAGCACAGGCAGGGGACACTCCGTGAGTGTCCTTCCTTAGGCAGGTTAATACTCAGCGTGAAAAATACATTTTGACAAAGAGCAAAAGAACCACCACTCATAAGCACATAACATGAGCCCAGCACTGAGCTAGCCTCAGCCCCTGGATCTCATTGAGGCCTTGATCAACTTGTGTGGTAAGTATTGTTTTTTATTTTATTTTATTTATGTATTTATTTATTTTTTTACAGACGGAGTCTTGCTCTGTCGCCAGGCTGGAGTGCAATGGCGCAATCTTGGCTCATTGCAACCTCCGCCTCCCATATTCAGGCGATTCTCCTGCCTCAGCCTCCCAAGTAGCTGGGATTACAGGCACATGCCACCATGCCTGGCTAACTTTTTGTATTTTTAGTAGAGATGGGGTTTCACCACATTGGCCAGGATGGTTTCAATCTCCTGACCTCGTGATCCACCCACCTTGGCCTCCCAAAGTGCTGAGATTACAGGCGTGAGCCACCACACGTGGCCATCAGTGTTTTTATACCCATTTTGGGGAGGGAAAAACTGAGCATCCCAAGGTGAAGTAACTTACTCAGGGCCATAGAAATGTGACCAAAATCAATCTTATTGACTCATTCTAAAAGCAACTCATTGCCTCTTAAATAGAGAAGAAAGACATCCTCCAGCTGTCCCTTGGGTTCAGACACGCTGGTGTATTTCAACCATGTCTACATGGTTCATCAGAATGCACATTCCTCTGCACCTTTAGGGTCCAACACCTCTATATTCAAGGGTTCCTAGACCCTTAAGGTCCCTAGCCCTTGATTTTCCCAGCCATATTTTAGAATTCATTTATGCCCCACGCACTCTGTTCTCCCAGTAACCACTATGCATGGTGTACTTTAGGTGCCACATTTTTCACATGCATCTTTTTTTTTTTTTTTTCAATTGAACTAGCAGCAATCCTGTGAAGATTATTGCATTTTAATCCCCATGTTGCAAATGAAAAAACTGAGCCTCCAAGATGCCAAGTAATTTGCCAAAAGGCATCATGATAAAAATTATAAGCAACCTGTTGTTAGATGTCTATTCAAACCCCTGGTGCACAATTCCTCTCATTCTGTGTGTTTTTTTTTTTTTTTTTTTTCCTGTGAGACAGAGTCTTGCTCTGTTGCCCAGACTGGAGTGCAGTGGTGCAATCTTGGCTCACTGCAACCTCTGCCTCCCAGGTTCAAGCGATTTTCCTGCCCCAGCCTTCCGAATAGTTGGGATTACAGGTGCCTGCCACCACACCTGGCTAATTTTTGTATTTTTAGTAGAGACGGGGTTTCACCATGTTGGTCAGACTAGCCTCAAACTCCTGACCTCGGGCGATCCGCCCACCTCAGCCTCCCAAAGTGCTGGAATTACAGACGTGAGCCACCGTGCCCAGCCCATGTCTTTAGAATGAATCCAGTGGAGATAAAAGTGGCCATGTGTCTTCCACTTGGGGATTCTCAATGGGGCATAGGAAGCACTTCGGGTTTTTACACCTTTTCAGTTATTCACAGAGGTGAACAGATGACTGTAATCCATTGAGTGGTTCGATGACCAGGAACATACCGTGGGAAGACGCCAGTGCTGCACTGGGGTGAGATATCCCCCATGGTTAAGCAGCGGCAGGTAGATTTGGGTAGTCTGATAGCCTCATGGCCTCATGGTCCCTAGAAGCTTTGCTAGGACAGCATCCTTCTCATGTTTGCTTTTGTCTATGCAAAACTTATGGTCTCCACACCCCCTCCGATGGTTGTTATTAAAAGCCAAATACCACAACCAGCCTTTTCTTACAACCAATATAAGTTGGCTGTTTCCAGGACTCCCTTCCTCTTTCGGTTTTACCTGGCTGCTCAGTTTTCAGATATCACAAGTAATATGTGTTATTTTTTTGCATCTGCTCTTTGGTAGGCTATGCTGAACACGCTACATGAACGATCGTGTTTAATATTTATTCAGTCACCTGCTAGGAGACTGTATTCACTCACCTCCCATAAATGGGGACCCCAGGTTCTGAGGGGTAGCTGACTTTGCCCAAGGCCTCACAAGGTGCAGATCTGAGCTTGGACCTCCCTCTCCTGAGCAGCTATTTCTGCTTCATGCCCTGCTGCTTCTCATGGGCCAGCTGTGATAACCAAAGTCCTGTGGACTTGTTTCTACTTGAAATGCACTTTGCTTGCTCAGTTCAAGACCACATATACAAGAGAATGCCAACAAAGTTGCCCCAAGCATGTGAGGTCAAGCATCCTGAACCCAGAAGGGAGAAGATGCTGTCAAAGCAAAAGCAACCTCTTCCTTTCCTCCATGCAATATGCGAGTAAGTGGGGAGAACGCTGATGTTCCGCTGGGTAAAAGTGGCTGGTATTTAATGGAAGCTCGTGGTTATGAGCCAGGCACCCTCCCCACTTTCCATGAACTGACTCTGTGGACTCTCATAGTGTCCTTGGGAGGGGGAACTATTCGTGTCTGCCTGGCACAGATGAAGAAAGTGAGACACAAACAGCCAGCCTCCGGCTGCCCAGCTAACACTGAGTGGATCTGGGATAGAAACAGAGCTTCCAGAGCTGGTTTTTGGAAATTTAGCATTTAGCTAACTGTTCACAATTTCTCCCTTTTCTGTAGGGTAAAGTTCTGACTCCTGAGCTGATGTTTGGGCCTTTCACACTGTAACTCAACTGTCTCTCTGTGGCAGTATCCTACACTCTTCCAGCCACCAACACCACATGATGCTTCCTTTATCTCAGTGGATGCTCCCCATCTTATCAGCCTGGGAGAATTCAGACCTCTCTCCTGGGTCTGTGACAGGCACAAAAATGAGTTAAATGTAATTCCTAGTCTTTAGGAGCCTGTTGAGGAACACAGCCTAGCACACAATTAACCAGGCCACACGGGAGCATGATCAGAATGCTGGGAAAGAAATCCTTGGCATGCTGTGAGCACAGCGAAGACAGGCAGCCACTGCTAACTCCTACAGCTTCATCGCAGAGGCGATTCGTGTTGGCCTTGAAGGTCAATGAGGATTTTGACAAGCAGAAAAGGGAGAATGAGTGGTACTCTAGAACAGAGCCCCAGAGGCTTGAATATGTATGGCCCACTTAAGGATGTGCAAGCTGGTTGCAGTTGTGAATCTAGGCACACCCTAACTTGTTTAATGCACAGGTCAAGAGAGGGCAAATTTGAGATTAGCTGCATTTTGCTTATTAAGGCAGCATGCGCAAGCAATCTGTTTCAGTCTGAAATTTACAGTCTGAATTAACAAGAGAGCATATCATGAAGGCAGCATGGGCAGAAAGCAAGAGTAAATCACTGCATTTATTGGTGACCCCTCTGCATTCCAGACAGATAGCGCCACGGAGCAATTAGCTAAGAGGGGTTCCACCATCACAGTCACTCCAGATTGAATGTCTCTTACCAGAATAGTGGTTCACCAGGTCCTCCAGGCACTGGAAGGTGAGCCTCGGGGAAATGTAGTACCAGTTGTTGGGCAGGCGGAAAATGCGGTAATGCTTTACCTGCCTGTGTCTCACCGACAGTGAGTAAAACCCTGCAGGAGGTGGAGGAAAAGTCAGTGGGTTCCACCTGTCCTCACCCCAAGGCACCCAGCTAACCAGCGCACCACCACTGAGGCAGGGATACCTGCCCACCCTTGGGATACAACAGTGATGCTAGGACGCAGCCCTTCCTTCCACTAGACCCTTCTCTGTTTAGATGTTGCTTCCTGTTACAGACTGCAGGAGTGTATTATTGTGTCAAAGCAGATGTGTTCGTCATATGGTCCTTACAGGTTTTTAGGAGCACAGGTTTCATCCTCTTGGCTTTTTTTTTTTTTGAGTCTGGGTCTTGCTCTGTCACCTGGACTGGAGTGCAGTGGTGCGATCTCAGCGCACTGCAACCTCCATCTCTTGGGCTCAAGGGATCCTCCCACCTCAGCCTCTGGAGTAGCTGGGACTACAGGCATGCGCCACTATGCCCGGCTAATTTTTGTATTTTTTGTAGAGATGGGGTTTTGCTACATTGCCCAGGCTGGTCTTGAACTCCTGGACTCAAGTGACCCACCCACCTCGGCCTCCCAAAGTGCTGGGATTACAGGCCTGAGCTACCGTGCCCGGCCTCGTCCTCTTTGTTTTTTGAGGCAAACACATTGGGGTGCTTCCACATCCTAAGGCCAAACGGAATGACTGTAGTGTGGTTGCAACCTGGAGCTCCAGGGTCCGTGGTGGTTTTTGACTCCTTCCCGAGTATACTCCAAGATGTCATCCCTACTGTTTTTCAGCCCCTGTCCCACCAGTGCTGCCACAGCACACATTTGAACAGGTCCTTGCAGTTATGCCCCTTCTTTCTTTGTCTGTACTCTCTCTGACTTATGCTTAGTCTTCTCAGAAATTTGGAGCAGTTGAGTCATCTTTCTGGGTATCCATAAGAACCGCGTGAAAGGCGGGTTATTGCTCTTTGAGCCTCGTTAGAGCAATGACCTGGTATGGGTTGGTAAGAGTAGAGCCGCGGGCATGTGCCTCGATTTCCCCAAGTGCAAAATGAGAGAATTGGATGTAGGCCATGTTTCAGGGTGCTCTCTTGCTCTATCTTCTGGGGTTCCAGGAGTAGAAAACACCCAAGAGACAGAGGAGAAAGGGAGCTGATTGATTCTTTGCTATCTCTGCTGGGCAGGGCTAAGCAATGGCCAAGAAATCTCTGTTAATTCTCAGAAAGATCATAGGAGGTATTGCCCCCAATTATTTTAAAGATGGGAAAACAGAGGCCTAGAGCCCCTATGAGATGTGGCCAGAGGCATGGGGCTTGGGAATGCCACCCTGGGGTGTGAACCTTGTCCTCAGCACGTCCCTCACAGTGCCCCAGGCCTGCCATGAGTCAACCCAGCGTGAGCCTTCCCGTAAGGTCAGCAGAACTGGGAGTGTGGTAAGCAGACCGAGGGTAGCAAGTAAAACATTGTCAGAGCTTTGCATAGCCACGGGGGGCCTGCCACACCCACCCAGCTCCAGCAGGACGGCACATCTGCCTGATGACATCTTTATTTTTAGATGAGCTGCGGCACCCACCCTGGGTTCTTTCTCCGTTTGGCCAGGCCAGTTTAGAAGTTTCTTTCTGAGTCGGGCCATCCTGCCTCCGGGGACCTCTAGGACAGGCACAGGATGTTTTGCTTTTGCATTGATCTTTCTGTCCCCCAGCATGTTTGTCTTTTTAGAGAAAAGTTGATCTTGGATTTTTTTAAATCATGTGTATGGGGTCCCTGCTTTCGGAAAGCAAGGCTGGTGCCCATTTTGGCGAAGGGCTCTAGCACCAGGTGGCTTTGGCACTTATTAGGTGCATGGAAAGTACTCTCAGATAATGTGTTTTCTCTTATTTGATACCAAATGTACAAGAAGCAAGCCAGGAACTTGAAGATACCTTCTGAATTTTAAAAAAGCTATTATTATGATTTAGTCTGGGAAAATCCTAGCTGTGAAGTATTTGGGAATAAACACGGTACTCTCCTACTGTGAATCTCATGGTCTAGATCAGGGGGCCAAGGCTTAGAGAGAGAGAAGTGGTAACTTAGTAATTTGTAAGGCTAAAATTGGAACTTGGGACCCTTGCTTTGAATCGTGACAAAGAGCTCACTCTATTTATGTTTTTACTGAGGTACTTAATGTGTATGATGCAAGGAAATTGTAATGCTAGAGGGGATGGTGACTGTGTGTGAGAACACATCTGATTCTCTGAGCTGTCTGACTTAGTTACAGAGCACAGAAGAAACTGACATCGGGACTCTCTGTGCAGCAAGACCAACACAAACATTATTACATTTGAATTTCACTACAACCTTACAAGGGAGGGGTGTTCTCTCCATTTCACAGATGAGAACACTGAGTTCAGACAAATCAGTCCCAGAGCTTGACAGCACAGACCAGGCTTGTACCAAAGCCTATGTTCTATCTGCCCAACATGCTGCCTACACACTGCATTCAGTTTTGTTCTCAGTTGCTGGAAAAATTTCCAGCAGGAGTCATCAGGCCTGATGTTGGCCAGGCCCGTGGCCGTGCCCAGCCAGCTCCCCACTGCCTGTCTCTAGTCTCCTTGCTTCTCCACTGGCCTCCCCAGCAGCATGTGGGCTGCAGGGAGCTTAACTACATCGGATCGATTTGCATGGACGTAGGAGGAAGGAAAATGAAGCCACGTAATGAGTCAGCCGGGAACAAAACATGCTTGTCTGCCCCAGACGGGGAAAGATGAGTTGGGGGTCACTCACCTTTCTTGGTCTCACTCTCCCTGATCATGAAGGAGCCGACCTTTGTGTCTGGCAGCTGCAGCAGCTCCTCAGCCTTGTCTCTGCCCAGACCCTCAAACAGCCAGCTGGAAAGGAGGAAGACAGCCGTTAGGATCTGGAACAAGCCCTCCCCCAGGAAAGGCGGGAATGGGCCTCCCACCATACTAAGCACTTGAAAGCTAATCCTCATCTCCACCCACTAAGACAGGTAGCATTATCTCTCTTTCACAGACAGGAATACTAAGGGTTCCAGTGATTAAGTAATTTGCTCAAGATACCATGTCAGCAGTTGATAGAGTTAAAATTAGAATGCATTTTTCTGGGACATCCAATTCTATAACCACCATACTTCACTGCTGCTCTTCCTTTTATTTGTGTGTGTGTGTGTGTGTGTGTGTGTGTTTTTAATGGAGTCCTGCTCTGTCACCCAGGCTAGAGAACAGTGGCGTGATCTTGGCTTGCTGCATCCTCCACCTTCCAGGTTCAAGTGATTCTCCTGCCTCAGCCTCCCAAGTAGCTGGGATTACAGGCACGCACCACCACATCTGGCTACTTTTTGTATTTTTGTTAGAAATGGGGGTTCACCATGTTGGCTGGGCTGGTCTTGAACTCTTGACCTCAAAGCCATCTACCCGCCTCAGACTTCCAAAGTGCTGGGATTATAGGCGTGAGCCACCGTGCCCAGCCCTGCTCTTCCTATTCGATATGTTAAGGGATATGATCACCTCTATTAGATTGGTAGCCTCTCAGGGTCATAATTATGTCACTCCTCCTGGGTCTTCACCACCCCCAGCTCCCACCAGCTGCGGCCCCACACCTTCAGCATGAAGGCCTTGATGCATGCTTGCTAATGAATGAATAGCCCCAGGGTGAGCAGCTGATGTAGAAGAGTCATGTGATTCCCATCTCTTTCAGAACGTGACTCGCATGGCAGCTCCTGCTCCACTTTTGTTCACCTTCATCATCCTAAGCATGGAAATGGCATCTGGTATTCACAGTTTTAAGATCATGAATACTGAAATTAAACTTGCAGAATTCCAGTCTTCAAAGGACTCAGGCGGTTATCTCTGTTTCGCAAGATGAGTATGTGGCGCGTAGAGTCCTCCTCTGGACGTGAAGAAGTAACTTAGTGTTTATCAATGGATGCCTCCTTTCTTCTCCATTTCCAATATGCTGTGCATTTCTTTGCCAACTTCTGGCCTTGGTAACTTGACAGATGAGGATAGCGTAACTCCAGGAGGTGAAGCGACTTTTCCAAGCCCCTCACATGGAAGGAGGGAAGCGAAGATTTGTGCCCAGGTGTGCAGGACTCCAAAGCCACCCAGGAGGCTGCAGAGGCCTCACAGGCATGACTACAGGAGGAAGCAGGGTGCTTATTTTCTCATCGGTTGAGCCTACTTTTCTAAGATTTATCTTGTTCGTCTTACCCATTTTTCAAGGAAGGCACATAAGCATTTTTGGCAGTAAGGATTCTGTGTGTTTCTGGATAGGTATTTGATTAGAATATAGCTAATATTTATCGAGTGCTTACTGTAATGCTTGGCATTGCTCCAAGAACTATACATGTATCATTATATCTTATTCTCTTAACAACCCTACATTTTGATCATATTGTCATATATGATTATCCCTGTCGTTCTATGTTATGATCTCTACTTGACAGGTGAGGAAAGGGAACTGATGCATAAAAAGCTTGTTCACTGGCACACAGCCAGTAAGTGACAGAGGCAAGATTTGAACCTAGACACACTGACTTCTAGTCTCTGCACTGTGCTGTGCCCTCTGATAACATTTCCCAGCTGTTTACCATTCTGTGCCAGGAACACCAGGTTAGAGCTGAAAGGTCCAACTTCCTTCATTTTACTGAGGGAGAAGTTGAGTCCCAGAGAGCAGAAGAGATAAATTAGCTCAAGGTTGCTCCTTTCCTTACTGACTGGGTTGGCAGCAGGATTATCTCTTCTTGACCCAGTGCCTTCCTTTCCACTATGAATGCTGGAAACTTTGTTCCACCTTATGAGTCAGCAGCATAAGCATCATGTTTAATTGATGCCATTTGGGAAACATACTCACCCATGGTAAACTCTGGCCACACATATTCCAGGGATGTAACTCTCTCGACCAGTGCTAAGAGAAATAGCTTTCCACCAGCCCCCTTCACTGTGAGAACAAGAACAGAGAACACAGAGATAGGTAAATAACAAAACCAAAGGATGAATGAACAGAGTAACCAGATTTAACCCAGGACAGGTTGGAACATTCCTCTTTTAAGATCTGTCACTGGCCACGTTAACCCAAATTCCGTCATCTGAAAATCTACCTTTTAAAGTATATGTGTCCAGTGGATAGCCCTCCATTGCAAGCCAACTGGGAAACCCTCCCGTGTGCTCAAAATAGCTGCTTTTCAGGATTTAGCAGTTAATGTTCCCAACTGTTGGAGGTTTTTTAAAAATAAATCTTTACTATATTGATTTATATTCTGCAGTATAACCAAATATAGTTTCAATTATCTGCATCAATGAAGATCAAAATAAAAGGGGCTCAGAACTCCTGTCATGTTCTATAGCCCATATTGAATCAGACTGCAGAGGTAAGAGGAGAGAAGGCAAATCTTTTATATTTCTCATCCAAAGGATTTCCAGACTCTGGGGCTGCCTTCCCAGTCTTCATTCCTACATAGCATCAACACTGCACATGTGGTGGGAGATGAGAAAAATATGATAAGAGGTTGGATCATAAAGGATCTCAAAAGTCAAGTTAAGGAATTTAAATTTGATCTACCAGGCAGTGGAGAGCTATGGAAAGTTCTAGAGCACTGGCCACATTAAAGAGGAGGGTTGCAGTATGGGTCAAATTTCTCACCTCGTAATGGGACCAGGACTCATGTGGACCTACACCACTCTAGCTAAAAATCAAATACTTTTCACCCAAACCAAATTTATCCTGTTTTGAAGATTGCACAAGTTTTGGAGAGCTGACTCACTCGGAAATCACACGCAGTTTCTCCCCTCGGCGGAATATTGGGGGACTGATGTCAGGAGATGGGTAGTCACTCAGCACGGCAAGGAAGTCGCTATCAAGTCCTGGGGAAACAAAGGCAAGGGGGAAGGGGGCAGGTTGCTTTTTATTCACAAGGAGTTTAAAGGTAGCCTTGGGAGGGAGGGTATGAAGATGAGATTTTCCAGCAGGAGATACCTTTCTTGTTTTGAACCACCAATTTACAGCAAGGCCTCTCTTCAGACATGGCTCTGCAGGGTGTGCGTACAAGCCCTGAGGATCAGTGACATACTCCTATTCTTAAGCCTTCCTTGGCCCTGATGTTCCCGTCTGAGAAATGGAATCCAGAGGCTGTGAGATGAGTCACAGGGGCTGGGTTCAGGCCCTGTTCTGAGTCTACTAGCCTCACTCTCTCCGTCTTTAAAATGGGACTAATAATACCTCATTCCAGGGTCCTTAGGAGAGGAGATGAGAGTATGTTACACCACATACATTCACCTAAGTTTCCATAACAACACCCCTTCTCATTACCAAAGCCTCGGGTGTCCACTCTGGGACCCAGAGTTGTTATATCTATGACATTTTTGGGGAAGGGGTGTCAGGAAAAATGAGTTCTGAGGACCCATTAGGACCATGAGGCGGTAACTCTGAGGTTAAAGAAAATACTTATTTCTTTTTCATTTATTTACTAGGGACATTTGTTGAGGGTGGGGGTGGTGGAAGAAAAATTTAGTACTTTTCCCGATAGTGTATTGAAAGGAATTCTGATGAAGTTTTGAGAAGGAAAGAGGGCTGTCTGGCTCCTGACCGTAGAGGAGAGACAGTGATTTTGCTTTTTGACACTAAGCGATACATCTGCTTCTATCCTTAGTGATTTGACGTAATTCAGATGCATTAGATGCAGGGTAATATTTGAATACATTTTGGGGGGAAATAATAAGATGTCTTCCATATCAGCAAATGCAGTTATTATTTGCTATGACTTTCATCACTCCACCTGCTGGCTGGGACTTTGAACTTAAAATTCTGGGTAACATCATCTGTTCATTCATTCGGCAGCTACTTACTGAGCACCTGTCGTGAGTCAGCATAGGTGAGCAAAGCGAGCCCATTCTTGCTGCTCTCATGGAGCTCACGTTCTACAGGATACATAAATAGTCATGGGAGGAACTGTTCCCTGGTTCGCTCACCCCAAGAAGATCTGGAGAAATCCCAGCACTCAGGCTTGTGGGCTCCGTGGCCCAAACAAGCCACTTTCTAGGATCCACATACCCCCAGATCCTGCCTCTGACAACTCATGTGTCTTGCAGCCTCTAAGTCATAAGCCTCTTGGGCAGACTAAGTCTAAAGAGAGATTAAATAGTAGAATCAGTGAGAAAGATGATTGAGGTTTTGAGTGAAGGTTATGCTTATTAATTGATAAATGAATTAGAAGCCAGTGATCATGGTGGAACAGTGCAGTCGAATGTATTGTTCATTTGGGGAAGCTGAGTCACTGACAATAAGCCATGTAAAAGCAAGAGTTTCTGGATGTGAGACAGAAACCAAGAGTGTTATTTAGTGGCTTTCTAAGTCTTGGAAAGGGATCAGGGCTTTTGAGAAACAGTTGTGTCGGGATGTAAAAGGGCTGGCCCAGCCAGACCGCTGACCTGTCCTGCTGCAGATCTTCCCCAAGCCTGTGGGGGCAGCTCCCTCACATTCTGCTTTGCTGAATTCAAAAAAGGGATTCTTCCCTGTGTCGCTTTGACTTCACCCCAGTAAGTAGAGGCAGCGTTACAGTTGTGTTAAGTTTGAAGCCAGAGGTCCCAAGGTCTCGCAAAGGGCAAGTTCACGTTCGGTAGGGCATAAAGTTTATGCAAATTTGGCAGTCCTCTTTGAGAAAAAAATACACAATTGCAAGTACAAAATGAGAGACAGACCCCAGGAAGGTGCTGTACCAACAAGGGGGTCTCAGGCATATGATTTGTTTGACTTCCTGGCAAATCTGCCCAGAAGCTGAGTCTGACTTTGCCACTCACTGAGTGGAACGCCTCCTTCTCCTTTTGGGCCTGGGTTTCCTAGTCTGGAAAATGAGAGGTTGAAAAGCACCTTCAAGATGGAAATCCATCTTCCTGGACTAATGGCCGCCACATATGAAAGGGCTGTATATTACTGTGGTACTCTGCTGCCTCGGCTACATGTGATGGGCCTTTCTCCAACTTGCCAGGTGCCCTGGTTCTCAGAGCCTCCGCATAGGCTGTTCCCTCTGCCTGGAACACACCCTGCTCTTCCCTCCCTCACCCCTCCCACCTGTGTCAACTCTAAACTCACCTCTGCAGAGGCTCCTGAGGAGGCCCAGCCTTCCTGCTGTACTAATTCTTCCTCTTGGCCCCTAAGATTTTCCTCTGAAGCGGTTACCCCAGGTTGCATTTTCCCATTTGTGTGACTGTCAGGGGAATGCCCATCTCTCCCCACCCCCGGCTGTGAGTTCCAGGAGGGCAGAATACCGGTGTCTTCTGTGTCTGTAGCCTGTGCCACACGTGTTTTATAAAGGACGCTTGAAGCAGTCTTACTGAATGTGCAGAGCGGTCCCTGTGCTGCAGTGCCCCTTAAATACAGCTGTCAAGCTGCAGTTTTAAAGCAGATCCAGGCAGAAGGAAACCTGATTTGTGAGAGGCAGCTGGGTAGGTGGCCATTGTGGAACCAGCCCCTTGTGAAAAACATGTTGAAATGGAGAGGCACAGAGTGTGTCCTCTGTGACAACAATAGAACCTTGAGGTAGATGGTGTGTCTACAGAGGGGTTTGAGGTTTAATGTCAAATTCAAGATTAAGACTGTGGAACAGAACAATTGTCTTTCCTAACATTAAAAACAAAAACCAACAGAAACAAAAACAAAAGCAAAATCCCATTATAAAAACCACCGTTCCAATGAGGGAAAGGCAGGCTTAGAGGGTTGGAGAGTTTCAATTTCACAATAACAAAGTTAAGTTTCCTGTGGAATTTCCGTAGTAGTGATGTTTTGATAGCTATGGCACTTAAACATCACTGAGGAAACTTTGCATCTGGGCTCTTGCTTAAGTGTCAGATAGCCTGTGCCCAATCCTTTGCAAGAGATTTCACCTCTCTTTATCATGACCATTAGCCAAACGGGACAGAGTCACTGGGAAGGTATTACAGTTTGACTTGTACTTCTGTGGGGCAGGGTGGCCATTCTAAGCAAGGCCTGGTGCCAGGATCCCTTCAAAGTCTTCCCTGAGCTTTGGTTGCTACAGAAAAATAAATGCAATGTAGGAAATTTAAGTTTGTTGGTAAAGGTGAAACATATTGTCATCTGCTCCCAGAACTCCTTAGCTTTATGGAGAGCTCAGCGTTTGAATTCAAGCAGAGATAACTGAGTGAGGCAGAGAAGAGGACAGCTGAGGAAGTCAGTGGAATAAATGCAGACCTAACATAAGGAAACAAATTAGATGAAGACATATGCACTGCACATGAAAGAAGAAACCCAGAGAGAATTTTGGGGAGAGAGAATGGGGCTTTGAAATCAATCAGAACTGGCTAACATCCCGCCTCCCCCACTACATAGTGGTGCAATTTGGGGGGAGATTTATTTTTAACTAATCTGAGCTTGATTTCTTCATGAATAAAAAGGGAAAATGCCAAAATATGCCTCATAGGATTGAGTGAAGGATTCGTGATGTATTGCATATCAGGGCCTGCCTTAGTAAGTGGAAGGTAATATTATTTTCATGGAGAGCAGGGTCACCAGACCACAACTCAAAACCAGTGTTAGCCAATAACTTTCTAAACTTTGCAAACTAGTAGTGTAAACTTGAAAATTGCTTACTCTCTAAAAATGAACTCCACTTGGTGAGAACAGAAGGTGAAATTAAAAGGACCAAATATTTGCTGATAGCTCAACTTAAGAATGTCAGGTTGAACAAAATGTACAAAAGCGTAAAACAGGAAACGAATTTACAAAGGGGAGGGACTCAGGCAGGCCTTACGGGACTTAGTCAAGAGAGGACAGGCCCTTTTGTAAATTGTCATTCCTTGGTGCTGCATGACCATTTCTTTTTAAATGCTGAGAACATTCTCAGTCACTCCCACTTATAACTATCTAGTAAAACTAGTCATTTGTCACTTCCAGTGCCCTGCCCAGCCCTACAGAAAATACGTAATCATTTAAGGGTGAAGAAGGCAAAGCTGGGAGAGTTTTAGTCACATATCTAGGGAAAAGCATGAAGATTTTAAAGCCCGGGGTCCTACACAGAGCCACACAGCTCTCCTTGTCACTTAATCTCCAAGCTTTCCTCAGCCCACACTTGACCCTTAACAGGGGAGACAAAGGCAGACTCCAGCTAAGTCTTCAGGGTTAGCATGAGCAGCTCAGGGCAGCTGGTGGGTAGGGAGCTGTACAGCCCAGGGATTGTAGCCTCTTGTTTTGCATTCCCTGGAGTCATGCCTAAACTCATGGTCTCTTGAGGGGTGAAAGCAGGCCTGACTTTTAGTGTCTTCTTCAGGCCACACACACACACACACACAGGATTATATATGCAACTAACCAATCACACAGAGCTGGGCCAGGTAGAAAGTCTACCAAGTTCTGTGGGTCACGGTGAACCAGGCTCGTGAGCCCTCTTAGTCGTATGTAAAGGGCTGTGTTTGAGACCAAGTAACCCTCAAAGCTCTTTTCTGCCCATGCCTTGGTTTTTCCATATGTTAGTGGGGACAGATTGGAACTGCACAGACCTGGAGGCTTTTCAGGGTCAGTCTCAACACTCTTAGATGCTAGAGGGATATAGGCAGGGCTAGCATAGAACAGAAGCAAGAAATAGTTAAAATGAATATTTTGGACTGCATAGACTCAGAATGTGCTTTGCTTGGGCACCCAGGGCTTCTCAGACTTCCGTTGTTTTCATACCACCATCCCCTTCCTCCCCCTCCTTGTCATCACCAGCAGCAGCAGCAGGGAGCACAGCTCTGAGGGGAACCAGGCACTGGGCCGTGGTGGTACCCAGGTTACCCCTGAAGTCCTCACGCCTCCCTGCGAGGTTGATAGATTGAAACTCCCTTATTTTGAGTATGAGGAAATAGAGGCACAGTGAGGTCCAAAGACCGCTCAAGAGCACACAGCCAGGAAGTTGAGTGCCAGGTTTTAAAACCAGGTCTCCCTGGGCAGGGCAGGGCGTGGCTGTGTCTGGACCACTCAGCTCTCCTTTGTCATAGTCGACAGCACTAGGTACTTGATAATGTCTTTTTAAAAATTAATTTACTTAAAAAAAGCTTGAGTGCTATTCTAAGCAATGTGACATCATGGATTTCTCAGGCTAGTTATATATTTTATGACGTTCCTCAATGTACAATGATGTAAAAGTTGAATGATCATGTTCCGGCTAAGGCCATCTCATGTACCAGCAGCGAGGTTAGACGCAGATAGAAAAAAGGGATCTGGTCCAAGATTTGACACAGACTCACTGTCTGTGGGACCCCTTGCTAAGGTACTTGAGCATCTGTGTCACTAAATCTGGTGGCCAGGCACATTCTCAGTCACTTGAGAGCAAGCCTATCCTCTCCCAGAACATGCGGGCTTCTTGAAACCCTGTCCTTTTCAGGCACACACTGAGGTGGGGAGATGGACCTTGGAGTCAGACTACCTGGCTTTGAATTCCAGCTGTCTCGTCTGAGCTGTATGGCCTCAGGCAAGTCATTTAAGCTTCTTGTACCTCAGATTCTCCAACTGCAACACAGAGATGATAATAGGCTGAAGCCTCGTGGGGCTGTGAGAATCGAGTCTGTGCAGGTATAGCACTGGGCACTGTGTCTGGAGGCGGTGAGTACCAAGCGACTCTAATCGTTCCCGTTTTACAAAGGAGGACAGAGAGACTAAGGAGATAAACTCTTTCTCATCTCTCGTTGTGTGTCAGTGCAGGGGCAGGACTAAAAGCTGGTCTGTGGTCTGCAAGCTTAAGGGGTTACAGGGTCCCCAGGGACTCGTAGGAAATTCAGCTGGCGGCTACCTCCCACCATCCCCAGGTTCTGACTGGTAGGCCTGGGGGGGGGACCAGGAATCTGCATTGCAACTACTTCCCGGGGGATTCTGATGCAGCTGGTATGAGGATCACTTGCTGAGAAGCTGCAAGCTGGGTTTGAGAGGTCCCTACCTCCTTCTTCCTTCCCCGAGTCCCAACCGCCCCCTTCTCTCCACTGGGCGACTATGTAAACAGCATTATTCCTACCCTTGCACGGGCAGAAAGGGGTCTGTGCTGCTGCCTCTGTTGGTGCCTCTTCAGGTCAGGGTGATAAGAAGAGAAAGAACAAAGAGGGGAAAAAGATCACAGCAAGAGACGGAGTGCTCATTTTAAGGTGGAAATATGCCATTTCCTGACCACAGCGGGACTTCCCTAGGTTGTATTAAAAAATTCTGTACTGCCCATGTCTGGTACAGAAGTATACATAGAATTTTAGAGAAAATGAACACTTTGGGATGATTTGAAAGTTACAGAACTACCAGTTCCACCGCTTTAAAACTTTTGGGGAATGGCCATTTAGATATAGCCTGGTGCAGTCAGGTAACCCTAAATGGAGTTTTTAGAAGTTTCCACACCCTTCTTTGCTGGTGCCTGTACTGCATCGTGCTGTTGCTTTGAGGAGGGACTTGATCCAGATCTCTGGGGCAGGCCGAGTGACTCACCTAAAGTCACACAGCTTCCACAGACCATTACTGGAAGTTCAGTGAGGGCCTTCTGCCTCTGAAACTTGTTCTATTTCCCTCTAGTCCTGCTTCCTTTTGTAGGTTTTATGACATTAATTCCTGAGAAATCAACTGATCAGGAATGTTCTGAAAAGCTTAGTTTAGGAAAAAAAAAAAAAAAAAAGACAAATGGGCACAGCCATATTCCAAGGCGTTCACAGTCCTGGCTTGGGAGAAGAATGATCTCCCAAAAGGCCAGAAAACATGGTTGTCTGAAAGTGTCCAGGCTGTCCTCTGTGTGATTTCTGTGCAGGGCCAGGGTCTGTGGTGCCTTTAACTCTCTGGCGCTGAAGCTAATGTGGGAGCTGGCTCTAATTGCACATTGGCCTAAAGCAACGAGCGAGACCTGCACCATCTCCTAGGTTACTTGTTTGAGGGTAACCGGATGAGCAACCACAGGAGCGTTAGCTAAGTAGGAGCTCATTCCGTAAAAACCCTGACCCTGTGCATGAGGCAGATGGGGACTACCTAATACAGCATCACTGCACCGCCTTCCCCTCCCTCACTCAAGTAGGTACAAGAGAAAGAGGAAATAACGTTAGGACCAATGATCGGGGGAACGTTTCAGGGCTGGGGGTTGGAAAAGCAGCCCACCAGTGCTTGATGTGGTTGCCTGGATCACAAATGGGGTATGACCGGGGGAATTCTCTTCACCAGGGGGTGGAGGGGTGGGGAGACCCCTCTCTCTATCTCTGTTCTAGAGGTGACCTCCCACCCACATAATGGAAAAATATAAACTTATTTCATGACAATTTGCATTGAAAAGTTGAAGGCAAATGAGCAAATCTTGGAGGCTGTTTTCATGAGGTTCGCTCAAGCATGCTGCCCCTCTGCCCCAGGCTGAGAGGTGGCGACCTAAGATGGGTTCGGTGGGTGGGTGCGTCCCCAGCCTGCCTGGTCCCAGGGCCCTGTGGTGTCAGTTTTCTAGCGGTGGTTATGACCAGAGGAGGAGGCCGTGACCAAAGCCAGTTTGGAGAGGGTGAGAAAGAGCCCGCATTGTCCCGACAGCAGCAGCAGCAGCTTAGCCACCCTGCATGTTGCACGCTGTTCTGAGTGTGGCACGGGAGGTAGAGGGCTGCTGTCCGCAGGGCCCTGAGGGCACATGCTCTGTTCTACCTTGTAATCTGGTTCCACCTCCTCGGTCCTGGGGAATATTCTTTTTGTTTATCCCTCTTCCTTTCGGCTTGGGAAGGGGAGTTACTTCACCAGATAAATAAGAGCCACTAGGATTGTTCTGCATCTGACTTGAAAGGGGTGTGGGGTGGCTGGGTCTTGGCATGCTGGCTTGGGGGCATCTGAGGCCATTAGACCACACGAGCTGGGCCTGTCCATTTTGGAAGCAGTGAGAAGGTTCCTTTGTGAGTGAGCCACAGAAATCATGAAATGCGTAGTACCTGGAGGCAGCGCAGGAACCTGGCGCAGTCCACTCCCCTGTCAAGCTGGGCAGACAGGGCAGCCATCTGTGCCAGTGAACTCCCAGTGCAGTGCTGCAGGGGCTGCTGGGAACCATGTGTGGTCATCCCTGCTAGGAGATGGGACACCAGACCCCAAATGCTACCATGTAAGGTGGGAAGTAGAAGTGTCCAAGGCGCCCCCCAGCCTTCCTAACCGTCCCTTTCCCAAGACCCCAGAAGATGAGAATTATGGACTAGGAATCAGAGGAAATAAAGGTCAGGCCATTAGAAGGGGCCAGCATAGCTGAGCCCAGAGCATGGTGGATTTGACGTTCAGCCTTTGCCCATCATTCGCTGGTGTTCCCTCCCAGGCCTCTGACCAATTGCTGAGGGACTCTTTGTAGCTTTGGGAATCTAGCCAAACCTGACATCTCTCCAAAAAGCTGACTTTTGCCCTCACTGATTGACCTGCAATATTAGACTCTTCCCCTGAGAATGCCTGTTACCTTGCAGTCCCACCAATGGGACATAGGATTCCTTTGTTTTCAGGAAGATGTCACGATGGTGCCTAGCTTAGAAAAGTAACACAGATCCAGCTCTTGCGGGGCTAACTATATGGATGATATTATATTATGGGCTGCCAGAGTTTGGTAAACAGGAGTCTAGATTTCAGAATCGGATGAGCCTGAATTGGATATTTATCAGCAAATGCCCAATGATGTGGATCATATTCCCTTTGTGAGGCTCAGTTTCCCTACCTGGAAAATAGAGGGATTAAACCAGCTGATCTTGGAGATCCATCTCAAAATGCCAAAGATTTGACATCCTTCAGGTGTGCCAAGCATCCAATCCTTTTCATCTTTTAATTATGAAATATTTGAACCACAAGCAAAACTAGAGAAACGGATATAATGAGCCCTTCAGTACCCGTTGCCCCATTTAAGTAGTTATCAGCATCCACCAATGCCCAGTCTTTACCACAGGCTCTTGTATCTTAAGACTTAAGCATCTCACCAAAGAAGCCAGACTTACCCTCTGGGTTGGGCAGGGGCCTCTCGGCAGGTGCAGGGGCGGATTTCATGCTGTTTCCCATTTCTTTCTTTTTCCCTGGGGCCGCTGGTGATGCCCAGAGCCTACGGTATAGGAGACAGACGGGGAAAGTCAACCGTGCCCTGAGCCCTCCAAGTGGAGAATGACCCAGTTTAGAGAGCATCATGCATCATTTTTCTGGCAGCTTGCTTCTTGAAAGGCGGCTGTTTATATGTGAAGATGAGATTGGTGAAGATTGGTTACTTTTGCGCAGTTCAAGTTCTTTTATCAAGGGAATGACAGAAAAACCACAGAAAGGGAAGTTGCTAGCAAATGCTGTTGGTGGCAAAAGTTTCCATTCCTTCGCACCCTCGCTGAGGATGGTAAGCAGCCACAGCAGGGTTTGTGTGAGAAACCAAGCAGCATTTCAGGTGGCCCAGAAAGTATCTCCCCTCAGGGGCCCTCACCATCAACTCTGTGCACCAGGAATTCAGAGTACAGAGCTGTGTGTCTGTACAACCAAAGGCATGAGGACAAGGTACTTTCTGCTGCCACATTTTTTCATCTGTTTGAGTTTGTCAGCATGCTTTAACAAAGGATGAAAGGGGAAAACTTCCTAACAACTCTGTGTACCGGCTGCATGCTGCTGAAGCCCTTTCACATTGACTGTTACTTTTGATCATTGTAAAGTCCTTGCATCATGCTTAAGCCCATTGTGCAGTGAGGGAAACTGAGTCTCAGAGGGGGTAACTGACTTGTGTGAGGTCACATGGCAAGTAATTGTAGAGCTGAGATTTGAACCACTGATGCTAAATCTCTGGGTTGCTCCATAACAGTTTCCAAGGTAACCACCCAGGCTTAAATTTTCGCTGTGTACTTATAAGCTAGATGACTTCAGGCAAGTCATTAACCTTTTCTGTTTTTGTTTTTTTGAAACGCAGTCTCACTCTGTTGCCTAGGCTGGAGAGCAATGGCACGATCTCGGCTTACTGCAGCCCTGCCTTCTGGGTTCAAGCGAATCTCCTGCATCAGCCTCCCAAGTAGCTGGGATTACAAGCACATGCACCACACCCAGCTAATTTTTGTATTTTTAGTAGAGACAGGGTTTCACCATGTTGCCAGGCTGATCTTGAATTCCTGACCTCAGGTGATCTACCTGCCTTGGCCTCCCAATGTGGTGGGATTACAGGCGTGAGCCTCTGTGCCTGGCCAAGTCATTAACCTTTTTCTAATCATTTGGGAAGACACTAATCGAACGAACAGTGTTGGGTTGTGGTTACAAAGTTAACTGAGATAAAGCATGGGAACCAGTTTGAACATGGCCTGGCATAGAGTACATGTTAGTTATTACTCTGTTTACTGATTGTCCTTAATGATAAAAGTTCCAAGTCTAGACCTTCATACGAATATTTTGGAGACATAGATTATCAGAGAATAGGGTTTTAGGGAAGCCGTATTCCCTCTGGATGGTAGAAGCACAGAGAGGAAGCACACATCCATAAACAGAGCCTGCCTGCTTTGTGGGGTCAAAGAGCAGAGATGGAACAGGATTGCCCCGTTGGCCTCTAGCCCAAATGGAAACTAATCTCCCACCTGCCTGTGTCTGCAGCTCAGGAGTGAACCTTATGAAGGGCACAAAAGTCAGCCCGTCCAACTCCCACCCTGGCCTTGAATCCTGTCTCCCACCCTGGCCTTGAATCCTGTCTCCATGCCGTATGTGTGAAGGCCCTGCCAAGTCTGAGGGAGGTCTGCACAGCTCCCTAATTTAAGGGAAGGGGTGATGTGAGCTGAGACTCCTACTATATTAAGAAACAAGAAACACCAAAATGAGAGTTGTTTAAAAGTCCATGTATCTTAGACATTTACATGAATAACTTGTCACTTACTACTCAAGCTAATGCTTAGTGATATTCCCAAGACAATGACAAGGCTTGCAAAAGCTATAAACTCATAGTGCACCACAGAAGGGTTGGCTAGAACGGGCAGCATGTTTAAAGTGAAGTGCAAATCCCATCCTTTTTGGATCCTATTGATCTTTGTGACTAGAAACGAGGATGCCCTTGCAAATGTAAGGCTCGGGCCCTTCTTTCTCCACTCTTGCCCCTACCATCCTCACAAACCAGAAAAACATCCACACTCAAAATCCCAGGGCCTCTACCTTGGTAGGAACCTTCTAGCGGCTGGGCAGGTTCTAACAGCAACACCTGGAGTCCAGGAGGGCCGGGATACATTGACCGTGTGTCCATCCCTGAGCCTGGCGAAGGTACCCAGGAAATGTGCTTCCCCAAAATGCTTACAGAAACACAACAGGTGGTGTGACTCCAGCCCACATTCCCCGCAGTTCAGCCGACACTTCCTGGGCATCTACCAGGTGCTGGGCCCTGGGCCAGAGACTTGAGGAAGTCAGGATCCCACCCACATAGTGGGAGTGTGCTGCCTCCGAGGCCCAAGTCAGGCAAGAGGGGAGAGGCAAACCAGGCAGCCTCCCTGGCCCTGAGGGGATTGTAGCCACACAGGCTGCCCCGCACAGGCCTCGGGAAGCATGAGTGTGACGTGCAGAGGTTGTCCCGCACAGGCCTCGGGAAGCATGCGTGTGACGTGCAGAGGCTGTCCTACACAGGCCTCGGAAAGCACATGTGTGACATTCACAGGCCGCTTTGCACAGGCCTCAGGAAGCACATATGACATGCACAGGCTGTCCCACACAGACCTCATGAAGCACATGTGACATGCACAGGCTGTCCTGCACAGGCCTCAGGAAGCATGCGTGTGACATGCACAGGCTGCTCCACACAGGCCTTGGAAAACACACGTATGACACGCACTGGCTGTCCCGCACAGGCTGTCCCGCACAGGCCTCGGGAAGCATGCGTGTGACATGCAGAGGCCGCTCTGCACAGGCCTCAGAAGCATGCGTGTGACATGCACAGGCTGCTCCGCACAGGCCTTGGGAAACACACGTGTGACATGCACTGGCTGTCCTGCACAGGCTGTCCTGCACATGCCTGCCTCTGTACTGCTGCGTGGGCCTCCTGGAACCTGCCAGTTGCCTTGATTCCTCAGACTCCTTGTTTATCATCACCGAGGCCTTTGGGCTTCTGGGGAAAGTTCTCAACATGCAGAACTAACTCTGAAACCACGTGTGTGCTGGCCTCACTGATTTGCCACCATCTCCGGTGTCCCCAGACACAGCAAACTGTCCCAACAATGCCTTTCTGTCCTTTCAGCCTGACTCATCGAGTGTCATTCAACACCTAGTGATTGTGCCCAGAACCCTGCCCCCATAGGTTCCACCCCTCCAGATGCCAGGGTGCCCCCAGCCCGGCCAGCCTTCCCTCCCCTCTGTCCCCTCCCCCAAGCTGCTTCTAAGCAGCAGGCTCCCACCGCAATGTCTGATCTCTCCCCTCCTTTATGTCAACCATTCCAGAAAACAAGTCAGAACAAGACTTTGCTATCCATCAAAGACAATTCCAACATCCTCTCTCTTCCCAACAGCTCTATCATTCTTCTCAAGCATTTGTGTGCTATTTTGGAGGGATTCCTGGAATCCACTACAGGGGGAAAAAAAAAAAAAAAACCTTTAAACTTGTATTTTTGAGATTGGAGAAATGAGGGTCATCCAGGAAAACAAACGTACCCAGGGTCACAAGATGAGAAAGTTTGAGTCAGTCCTGGAGGCCTGGGTTCTTCTACCTTAACACTCTTCTCTCCTGTTGCTTGCACTCCCTCCTGTTCTGTCTTGCCCGTCAGAGTTCAGTCTCCGTGAGAGAAGGGACTGTGTCAGGGCTATATGACTACCAAAAAAACCATCAGGTCTCAACAGCCCTTTAGTGGTCTGCTCAGTGGCTTTCTACAGTCTTCAAGAAGGAGTTAACTTATCTGAAAGAGGCTTTTATTTGAGAAGAGTGAAAATGCCCCCAGAGAATGAGAGCTGGAGTCTCTCTAATGAAATGGCTGAACAATTTGATTTAATCTGTGACAGTTTTATGCAGTGGCTGAAGGTGGGAGAGAGGGTACTGGAGACATAATTGCTTCTAAGAACAATAGAAAAGGGCAGAAGAGAAATGAGTTAATTAACACTGGCTCTACAAATTCTTGATTTCTTTCTCCCTTTCCTTGGTGGTATAACTCTTAGGTTTCTGGGTCATAGAATCATAACTGCTATTACCTTATTTTCCCTTCGGTCTTTGGACCAATGCTATTTCCTTTGTGTGAACTTGGACCTTGGTTTCCTCTTCTGAAAAATGAGATGAGTGAAAAAAGACGATCTCCAAAGAGCAAGCCTTATAACCCCATTTAATTGTAGCAATCAAGACTCAATGGTTTTTAAAAACTATTAATAAAACAACCGTTGGCATTTTTCAAATGAAGTCCCATTAGACAGAATCCCAACTCTTGTCTTTATGTGCTTCAGAATCAACGGAAGACAGTTAATGTGTACAACCACCTTCTGGGAGGCAATTTGCAGATATCGTTGTGTTTAATCTTACAAGCATTCCCGAGGGCAGATAATCTTTTACTTTGTTAGTGTGAGAACAGGGTTTAGTCACCTGCCCACTGCTCTGGAGCTGGAAACCTTACATCTCCTGACTTCAAGACCTACACCTTTGGCTCAGGACCATGCCACTGTCTCTCCAGTGTAAGGAACTCTGGTCAGTGTGCGGCTGGCTGCCATTTGAGCAGAAGCATGGCATGGAGAGGTCACATACTGGCATGGCATTGCCATCGACAATGTGGGATATGCTGGCCAGCAGCATATCCTCTTAATAGGTTTTTGTTTTGCAGATCTGGGTCCTTTCATTGTGTGCTCTGCATTGTCTTATAGATCCGGGTGGGGAGGCTTCTCAGAACCTTCCATTCCTGGGACAGCGTCCCAGGACAGTTCTGTGCACCTGGTCCATCTTGTGCTTCTGATGCCTGGCCTTGCTGCTGGGAAGGAGGGTAGCCTGAACCCCTTTATTTCTCTCCCAAAGGGGAGAGAAATTGAGGAAGTCCAACCAAGGGAAGGCAGGTCATAAAGCCAGGAACTCAACCCTTGGTGACAGAATTAATTTGAAAATGTACTTAGGGATGCTACCTTCCCTTTGCCTTAGAAATTTCTGCT